TAGAGGCACTAATGTGCATGTACAACCTCTGGATCAAGGTAGTTTGTGCCCAGCCAGTCTGGAACATAGCCCAGATCTCCCTTACTTAGTGTAAACATTTCCTCAGTATCCTGCCAGGCTTCACACATCTGATTCCATCTGGCATCTATTTGGAGGTTGCTATTTCCAACAATATACATAATTTCATTTCTCCCTTTGGATAGTTTTACCTCCCCATAGCTCAGACATCAGTTGCCAGCACAGAAAACTTCATCCTCTGACACCTATAATCATGTACATTAGCATCATGTGCTTTTGAAGCTTTCCTGGACCTTTGGTGGTCTTCATCAAGATTCTTCTTAAACACTCAGATTACAAACACTCCTCTCCTTAGGACTCTATGGCCTGTGATATTGCTTAAGCTTTCTGTGCACAACACATCCTATGTTCCTGCTCTTCTGTATTCTTTGAATTGGATTTTAGTGTCAGCACAGACTGCTTCCACAAGACCCCTTCTTTTTGATTTCACAATGTTTATCACAGAACACTGATCAGCAGACAGGGCTGGGGGTGAGCTTACCTAACTCACCCCGTATCCCATGATGTTCTGTGGTGGCCCCTTTCTAGTCCCGTTTCTACTCTGTGCAGATTTGCTACAGGAAAATATTATAATGAGAATAAATTGTTGTGCCAGAAGATTAGTTTTCAGTCTCCTAGTACCTGAAAGAATCTGTGTATGAACTCTTGTATTTAACAGCAGGGTGATGGTGTAGGAACCAACATTATGTGTAATGTTAGATAACTGCTAAAGTCAAGGAGCACTGGAGAGCAGCAAAGAGGAAAAAACATTGTTTGAAAATACAGCCTGTGTGGAAACCCTAGAACAGTCTGCCTGGATGAAATCAGACCTTGACTCTACCTCTGCCTCTTTTGTCTGGTCTGGTTACAGGCCTCTCGGTACCTCCTGCCAATACTCCACATAGCAAAAGAAAAAGTGTTCAGGAATTTCCCTTGTTTAAAGAGCTCTATTCCTATCGTGCCAGTCAAGCACAATAATGTTCTTTTCACCTGGGAACATGCTGCTGCTGCCAGCAACAAGGCCTCAAATGCAATTGCTTCCACTCTGACTTGTGTGCTCAGGCATAGATAGCTGCCATCCTGCTTTGGCCACCTGAAAGTTATATGTCTTTTCTAGGCTCCCTATACAGTCAGCAGAGAAACAGTGGGGCTTCTAGGGAATGGTTTATTGCAGTGTAATACAGATGCCTGAGATAGATGAGCTGAATTGCCCTCTAGAGGCAATATATATATATCTTCCTTGAATCAGGAAGTATTCTGGATCACTAGCCTGCACTAGAGTTTCTGTTGGTTGAGATGAATCTAAAGGGTTTGATTCAGCATTATTGGCAATAGGTAAGTGTGACCCTACCTGTGTGTGATTCAAGTCAATAAGACCTTTCACAGGTCTGTAAAGGTATGCACAGATGCTTGCCATATCAAGATATAAGGAAAGAAAGGGTATTGCAGTTCCAGAGAGCCTCAGCTTTTGCAGCAGACTGACGTGTGCATGATGCTTGTATCTCTGTGGAAATAGAAGGGACACTGCAGATATAACTACAGAGTTAAGAGAAACCTGGGAGGGAGGTGGTTAATCTGTGCCTTTTCTCTTTTATTTAAGGTGAGGAGGAGAATTCCCACAATGACATCTGACAAATTACCTTAATAGGATAGTGTTTTGTATGATGAAATAACTGATCCCCAGACCACTTCCCCATGTGGTCTGCAGGCAGGATATAAGTGTGCACTTCATGTTATGCTGTACCTCTGCAGAGAATTTTCAGGGAATGTTTCACTACTTTGTTTTTTATCAGTGACAGCGAAACCAGAAACACCAGTGCAGATAGGCAGAGTTGTTTTGGTTAGAACAGACTCACTTTGACAGAAGGAAGATTTCACTTCATAGAATCCTAGAATCATAGAATGGTTTGGGTTGGAAGGGACCTTAAAGATCATCTAGTTCCAACCCCCCAGCCATCAGCAGGGACACCTTCCACTAGAATACCTTCCACTTCCAGGACCATCATCAGTTCCTTATGCCTAGAGCTGACATTAAACTCATGCAGGATGTAAGATAGAGGCCCTCTTCTCCATCCTTTAGGATGCAAAACTTGCATTGCTATTAAACTTAATCTGGTGTGGTCTGAGTAAATTGTTCAAGTTGTATGACCCTAAAAAACCTCTGGTTACTCAGTAAAAAACAGTTACTGTTTTGAGCATTGCTAATATGTAAGAAATTAGACAATCAGACCACCAGGTACATTTCTCTCATACCTCAGCCTGTTGATCATAAACTGAAGAGCTGCCACTTCAGGATTAGCATGTTTGTGAGGATTTAGATGTACTAACTCCAAGACATCATCTCACTTTGAGAAAACCACACAAAAAGTGCCAGTCTAACAACACTAAATGAAAAACCCACCCACTGGGCAAGTGCTGAAAAGCAGTAATGAACTTCAAATGGCAGCCTGAATGGATGATTTTGGTGAGAGCAACCTGGTCCTCAGCTTCCCGTTTTGAATGCAGAATAAAAAAAAAAAACCCTCAATGGGAGATCAAAACTTGACCCTTGTGTACAGTAGATACTGAGCTGGGAAAGGAAATCTGATGAAAAAGCTGAATGAAATGTTGTGCTAATCCCTTTGAGAAAGCACGCTTGAAGAGTGCTCTGCCATCCAGAGCAAAGTCTAGGTTCAGCTGTGACATCCCCCTCAGGCTCCCAGAAAGTTAACAGGACACTGCCCAGGCCCAGAAAGAGTCTTTAAGCATTAGTCATAATAATGAACAGCATTCTCTCTTAATCACTGCTAGGAAAAAAAAGTTGTATAACAATTGGATGTCCTGGCACTATCCAAACCACCCTTTGCTGACCCTCCAATGTGAGACTGCAAAGACATTCCCTTGGAAAAAAAAAAAAAAAGAAAAAGAAAAAAAAAAAGAAAAAAACAAATCTGTTGAAATTTGACATGTAAGTGTGAATCTGCTATTCCTTTTTGTCTGTAGGGGTAGCCTGCATCTGATCCCTTTGCTTCTCCTGTTCCTAGCAGCTGTGGATAAATGAAAGCCAGGTGGTGTGCAGAGCCTTTTTTGACACTGCTTAGATCTATATTAAAAAAAAAAAAAAGAAAAAAAAAGAAAAAAAAAAAGGAAGGCATGAACATGAAAAGAGCCCCAGAGCAAGGCACACACCTGCCTGTTATTGGGGGTGACAACACAGGATTAAGTAGTTTGGATATAGACTTGTATGGGAGCTTTGACTCGGAAGCATAATCGTTTCCTAACCAATGGTTAGAAAAGCTGCTGTATCCTTGGCTCTTTCCTGTGGCTTATTTTGAGGCTTAAGGGATCCTTCTGAAATGGAATAATCTTTTGTACTCACCCTTTGCTTAGCTTAAAAAATAATGCAGGCATGTAGACCCATTAAAGAGGGTCTCCAGGAAAACAAGCTTTTTTACTCTAAGCACAAGAGTTGAAAATTAAAATATGCCCAGATGAGCACACACACTCTGAAAAGCTCTGCTTCTCATCCTTTTACTTCTGAGCACAGGGAATAAACTTTTAATTTTAGTGTCACAAAGGCCTGATCACATCTTGGTTCAAAGTCTGTTTTAATCAGCCCTGACCACACACCCAGCTGTCTATCTTATTTCCTTAATTTAAGAAACATCATTCGCTGAGTCAGTCCCCACATCTGACATGTTTTAAATATTGCTCTGATTTGGTCATATGCTCCAAAGATGCACACATACATATTTCAGATTCTAAAGGTTTTGTTTGATTTTTCATTTTGCCTGTTTTTCATCAAGTAGCCTGAGTCTGCTCATAGCTATAGCTTGTGCAGTGTTATTAGACAGAAGTTTAAGGCAAGATACCTCAAAGTCCACTGAATTACATGGAACACTTGCTATTTTCCTGTAAGTTTGGACCATATTGTTAAAACCAATATTATATTTTACATCTGTGTCTAATTACATGGGAAAGACAGCTGTGCTGAGGGCAGACAGATTTATTGAGGACTTGAGTGGAGACTGCTGAATGAATTATTCATTTTTCATTATTCCTTGTCTCCTTTTTACAGTAGTTTCTGACAAAACAAACTTAGGATAGGAGTGAGACTAAAAGGGAAGAGGATGCTTTGTGATACTTCATGACTGACAGCCAATTCTAAAGTACAATGATGAATTTTTTCATTATACTGCTGTCAAGGGGAAAACCCAAATAAACCAGCCATCTCTGAGCCAGAACTGTCTGCACACCGTCCCTAACATAATTGATGATGCCTTTGACAAACAAGGCCATTGTCACGTTGGTTGGTGTTTTGTTAGACGGGGGGGCAGATTGAGAGAAAACTAGAGTTTGCCAAGAGAAAAGAAGCAAAAATCAGCAGGGAAAGATGCTGTGTTGTCAAATATTGGGAAATGTAAAAGGGTGAGGTTTTGGAAACTTGCTTTTATGTTTCTTTAATTGTGAGGTTTATCTGCAAATCTGTGGTACTGTTAAACAGATAAAACCCAGTCATCAACAGCTGCTTCTTCAGCATGTGACATGTGAGCTCTTATTTTGGGAGTTACCTTAGATGCACAACTGGGATTTTGGCCATAATACTCTGGAAGCCAGACAATGTACACACCCAAGCTGAAATGCTAAATAAACACAGACTAAAGCGTTTGCAAGCCACTTGTATAACTGATCTGAAAGTGTTGTACATTTATTGATTCAGCTTGCTTTCTGATCTACCAGAAGCTGTCCCAGTTTCTAATTGGGGATTATGCCCCCCAGTTCTTTTATGAACATTCGTTTTCCTGAATTGTAGTTCCTAAGGGGCGGGGGGGGGGCGGGAAGGGGGGTTAGACAGGGGAAGCAAGCATTATTTTCCCACCTCCTCATCAGCTTCTGCCCATGCTGTCAGTCACTGTCCTGTAATACTTTCCTTTAGGGATAGAATGGGAGAAGGTCTTATCTTCCTGAATCAGGATCTAGTCTCAGTTGGTGATAGGTAATGTAATGATGCTAATGATTTACCCATCTATTATGTGACACTAACTGATGAAACCTGAAAACTGGAAATAAGATGGGAATAAAGATGGAGCCAGAAGTGGCAGAAATATAAAGTGAAAACTCCACAGGTAGATCCTACATACAAAGATATTACATTGAAATCAGAACTCTGGATTCAAGCCAACCCAGATGCTGGCAACCTCTTCTTGTGTTTCAGACCTGTCTGCAGTAACGGAAGCGTGTGCTTCCTCTCCTTATCCCCAAATCTATGACATCCATTTTTTTTAGTGATGGATGGAACTAAGTGTTTCTTCTTTTAGGGAGATGTAGTCAACTCTGCAAAAATCTGGGGAAAAATAACTGAAGTTGAGCAGCAACAAATCAGAACTTGCCTTTGAAAATGTCAGTGCTAATGAGCACTTCATTGTTACACCTGCTCTCCAGAACTGACAGCAAAATCCCTGGGTTTGCTCCCAAAGTCAAGACTGCTTTGTGGCAAACAGGCGAGCCTGCTGCCATCCGCCAACCAGCTCATTGTGTTGAGTACATTGCCCATGACAGCACGCTTATTTTCTGTCCTTAGGCTATTGTGCTAGTGTCCCTTGAAAACAACGGACTGAGATCTGTCTACAGTAGTGTGTAATAATATTATTAAAAATACTGGCATAAAGAACACAGGGCATGGTGAAAAAAATAACTATGTAGTAAGCAGATCATAAGAGAAATGCACTTTAAACAAAATTGCTCACCCTTTTTCTCATACTATTTTCAAATGATATTTTCTTTTCTTGAGCATCAAATATGAGGTCGCAGATGAAAGTGAATCTGTCCCTACTACACTTAACACTCTTTATAGTCATACACTTGCCCCTTCCCCTTGGAAAACGATGTGTGGAATCAGAGCGCTCATTTGGCCTCTTATCTGTGAGCTCATGAAGAAAAGTAGTTTGCTTAGAAGCAATGATGGGCAAACTTCAAAAGCTTTGGAGATCATGTTTTGGTTCAGATAAGCATCCAAAAGGCTGGCCCCTCATCCAAGCTATCTAAACACCTTGGGTGTCCAACATTTAACTGAAAATCTGTGTTGAAGCAGGTCTTAGCCGCAAGATTTTTATTTCTGCCCTCTTCCAGATGGATGAAGGTAGCAATGCATTTCCTTTTCACTCTGTGCTACAAGCAAAAGCCAGGGCATGCTGCTTTGTTAATACAAAAAAGAGCTGAAATACGAAGGCCTAGAGTTCCTCAGTTCTCATTCTGATCAAACTTGTTTGAATATCAGAAATGAATGGGTATGTTTATTGCTTGTGTTTTACTTCTGCAGAGCTGTTGGCACAAGGCTTGACCATCTCAGCTAGCCTCTACCCTGATGGAGAGTAGTGAACTGTGTTGGCTTTGCACCACTATCTGTATATGACTTTCCACCTCACTCCCTGATGCTATCACATTGGGAATGTACTGGTGGTGTGGGATTATGATAATTTATTGTTTGTGAAGGCAGAGTTGCCCACAGGAGCTGTAACTACCTGTTTTACTGCCAAGTTGCCTTGAGTTGCCAGGCTAGTGTCAAACTGGCAATAGCATTAAAAAGATCTGGGGTTTTTTCCTTCTATTTGCTCACCTCCAGCTACATGTAAAATACATCTAGTGAGTTTAGAGAACTTATCTCATTCTGTCCGCCTTCTTATAAAAAATTTGCTCATGTATTTGTACAAAAAAAATTGATCAGCTTCCTTACACGCATGCAGTACTGCATGGTAAGATGTGTCCCTTAGAACTTGCACTGAATGAAATTTGTGGACTCTTTGGAGGCAGAAATTGAAAAAAAAAATGTTTCAGGTCATCTGAACCACCTGCATAAGCTGCATCTAGCCCCAGAGGAAACAGTTTTGTGATCTCTGTGTTCACAGGAAAGACAATGTAGGCGATAGCTATCATTTTTTACCTCGTCCATGCTAGTGAGTCTTTTTGCAAAACACTTTAAAAGTGATTCACCTGCAAGCCCCTTTAAAAATAAATACACAGTATAGGCTTCCTGCCACAGCTTCAAAACCCATTATGGTCAAGAATTGTGTAGTAGGGAAGAACTGGCTTTCACACATAAATGGGTCCCAGTTGTACTTGTTTTGCTGTGCTTAATGAGTTAAAAAGAAACAAAAATAATATTGCAAATGTAGGCTGACAGTGCAATGTTTACCAGTTCTGACTTAAAACTACTGAGCATAAGAAAGAGGGCACGAGTTTATCAGCCTTGCAAAAATGTCACTTAACCAGATGAGCCCTGGGCACATAATCTCAGTCACCTCTTACCATATCTCCATAGCTTGCGCCTGCCAGCCAATGGGTTCAGCCAACGCAACTTTCAGCAGAAGCTGGCGATGCCACCCCAAGACGGGATTCTGCTACTGCAAGCCAGGTGTGGCGGGCCCCAACTGCGATAGATGTCTCATGGGCTACTGGGGCTTTGGAGAAAATGGCTGTCGCCCTTGTGACTGTGCCAGAGACTGCGACCAGCATACTGGAAACTGTTTCAATGGGTAAAGAAGCCCTCCCTTGGGTTCGTTTTGAGATGGGATTCTGTGAAATGAAACAAAGATTAATTGAAATACTGCAGCAATGACTAATTGGAGGATGCTGGAGGGTGCACAATCATTTGAAAAGGTGGCTGTAAATCATAAAAGGTTTCTTAGATTCCATTTGGTGGCTGGCACACTTTTAAGTCCATTGTATTATCCAAGGCAATCTTGAAGCGATGACTTTTTGCAGTAATAATAAGCAACTCCACAACCCTATGGAAATATATACAGCATCTTTAGATACACCTGTTTGCCTTGGAAATAGTTAGAAGAGTCTGGAGAGCTTGTCTCTCATTTGTGCCCAGGGTAAAATGAGTTACAAAGTCTCCTTCCTGTTTCTAGAGGGCAGACATCTGTACCCCAATCACGCACTAATCAGTACAGAATTTCTGTGATTTGCTGAGTGACTGCAGTTTTCTGGGTCCTGCCTGTGTCCATAGTTCCTAGTGACATCAACAAGTGGTCACCAACTTTGAGTTACTTAATTCAGTAAAATCAAACAAACAAAAGCAAAAAAGGCCCAATATATAGCTACTTTAAAAAATGCTAAGTCAGCCATGGTAAGGCCTAAATAAAAGCGTAGATCTTGTGATCCCTCTATATGGCATGAAGTCTTGCTCTGATTTGCACTCACAACCTGAAGAAAGCAAGCTCATCTGCCTGGATACAGCCACATGCTACAAACACCTGCTTCCCACCCATCTGTGTCCTAACCAAGTCTTCTGTTTTATGTGTCCCCCCAGCTATGACAACGAGCCATTCTTTAACATCCCCATTGGGGGACGAATCCCTGACCTTCTGCAAACACCAACCAACGAGAGCGAAGAGGAGTGGAAATGGAACGATCATGAACAGGGTTTTTCTGCACTGAGGCACCCAGGTACAGCCAGTCTGAGCACCTTTAGTAGCTTTACTCAGTGCCAATTTTTTCATCTCTTCACCTTGACTTAAATTTTCCCACTCATCTCTAGCTTGTCTGTCCCACATCTGCTGGCAACATCTGCTAATCTGAACTACATAGGTTATCATTATGCTTCCATTGTTATATACCAAACCAGCGGTACTATCCAACTTTGGTTTTGTAAATTGGTATGTCATTAATAAGATTGCATGGAAAAAATATTCTCCTTTTGTTGTTGTAATTATAATGCTTATGATTTTACGTAACTCCTTCTCAAACATTCAGTTGGTGTTCAGAACTTCAAATGCTATTTGTAGAAAGATCATGTCAGTCATCAATGCAATGCACCACCTCTGGCGTAGAATGCAAGTAATTTTAAAAGTAAGATATTCCTCATGGCATAACAGCTCAGGAGAGAAAGTAGTATCCTGTATCCAGCTAAAGTTACAAACTAAGTAGGCTTAGAGAATGAGGTGGAGCACTCAAGGTCAGCATCTACCAGCATTGATGGCTTTGTAAGACCCAGAGGTAACAGTGCCACCTATTGCATATCTTGACTTTTCTGAGATGCAGAATCTCCACATATCTGAGAGGGATATTACCTTAATACTAGCAAGGATCAGCATTACTTAGTTTATGTGATCAAACAAGGGTATTACTACTTACATGATTTACACCTGGATCTGATTCTTACAAATCTTTTTATTAGTATCAGTTTAACTGTACAACAGATCCCATGAGGGCTGCGTTTTACTTGACAGTACTGATCAGATTTCAGAACAATTATTGTATCATCTAACAAGAAACAGATTTGGAAATAACTGAGCTTACTCTCAAACTTACTCTTAAAGTCCATCCAGATTATGGGAGCTGTATACATATAAATTTATAACTGGGTATCATTTTCTTTTCTCACTCATGTCCTGGCTCTTCTCCAACCCTTTGTGTTCTGTGGTTCCCCCGCTAGAAAAGTGTGTGTGCAAAGAAAAGGTGCTTGGAAGCGTCACTGACTTCTGCCAAATGAAATATGCTTATGGTAAGTGGGTGACATGTCCTCAAGGTACAATAAATGTACAATGTTTTCTCTATACATATTATTAGCTGATAGCTATGAAAAATGACACGACTGGCTAAGTCATGAAACAAGAGGTAGGATTTCTTCTGCCTTTTTTGTCTAATGACATGTCCAACTTCTGATCAGAACTGAACAGTGTTTTTCATGCAAGGCTCCGTGGTGTCTCCTTTCCACCCAGTTAGCTTCCCTCTTTACAGCAGAAGTGCTAGAATTGTAACTCAGTGGAATGGTTGGCTTCTACATCAAGAATAAATGCTAAAAAGCTTGCATCTAAACTGCCATTGTTTTTGTACTCATTATGCATGTTCCAATGGTCATGCTTGTTGACCAAGAATTTTTTAATACTGTTGTTTATGAACACCTGGTTCATGCCATTAGAGGAAGCAAGAAGGGAAAACTCAGGGATCCAAGGGTCTGATGTGCTTGTGTCATGACACAACAAAGCCTGTTTGTGAGGCCTATCTAGATGAGACTACCCTGCCAAAAAGCTATGGGATCCTATTAAATTAAAGTAACAAATTTATCATGGCAACCAGATGTTGGGCCACAAAACAAAAATGCTTTTTCTGGTTTGTTGTGCAATCATGGAATTTTAGCCATGGGACATGCCTGCAGTCTGATGGGAAAGTTCCTGACTTCCTTCCTGTAGAGCAGACAGTCCCTTCCCCAGGACAAAATTTTTTAGAGGCCAGTGTTAAAACTCAACACAAGTTTTCAAACTGCAAAATATAAAGCCTGAAATCAGTGCACTTCAAATCAATGTTAGCTGCCAATGTGTTTTTCCCACCCTTCCTATGTATAAATACAAGTGCTTTCCTGTGATTTCCAAGCATTTGAAATCAGCCTATTAAAAAGTAGTTGCCAAATAGCATGGTGAAAGGATCAATTAACTACTTCAATTAAAAAAATCTAGTTTTTCTTCTCCAAATTTATTTAGAAGATAATGACTCAAGTGGACAAACATTGGAATACACTTTCTGCACAACTGCACTGTTTTTTCATGTCTTCTTTCAAGGTGTTAAAATTCTATCTTTTTAGCAGCATAAACCGAAATTCATTGTTGGTGTCTATCTTGATACATTTTCTGGCAGTGATAAAAGCAAGAATCCTATCAGCTCATGACAAAGGGACCCATGCAGAAGTTGTGGTGAAAGTGAAGAAGGTCCTGAAATCAGGCAAAGTGAAAATTGCTCGGAGCAACAGAAGCATTTACCCAGAATCCTGGACCAACAGGGGATGTACATGTCCCATTCTCAATCCTGGTAAGGACAAAATGTTTACCAGGTGTTTTCCTTCCCCAGTAAACAGTGGTGACAATTCATTATGTACATTAGCTATGGCTACTCAACACTTCCCATCAGTCTTTCTGGGGCAAAGTCCTTTGGTTCATCCACACCAAAGAGGGAGACAATAGACAGCTGCAGGAAAAAGCATTTTGCTATCAGAGAACAAAGTTTTACTGAAAAGCCCAAACCTCCTGCAAGTGTTTTACTTTCAGTAAGTTCATTTGATTTTCCAGAATCTTTGTGACTAGAAAAATGTTTGTGAGGAAAAAAAATCCTGTATTTTTAAGTCCACAGCATTTTCTTCCTCACTCTGTATTCTCACATCATGCTTTACTGCCTTTTGGAAAAAAAAATAGAAATTATTATGAAAATTTTGGAAAGTGACAGGAATCTAACTGCTTCTATGCCTTTGTAGTGGCTTCAAATAATGAAAAGTAAGTCTTCCTTCTTTCTTCTACTGTAAATTCTAGTGCATTCAGGGGTTTGTTCCATCAAAGCCTAAAGCTGACAACCTGCAGCATATTGGAACCAATCATGGGTGGAGAGCATAAAACCACATTAATTTAATTTCAAACTAAGTAAGACAGGAAATCTTTAAAAATTAGAAAAATCATATTTTAAGTAAATAAATCTCCTCTTTTTATAACCAGTTTAGAATAGGTCTCTAGGTTTTCTCCCTAACCACATTTTATCAGAATGATCCATGTTTGTTCAGTTTTAATTATGAGAATCTCCCTGCAGCAGTGGAGTGGAGAAGTAGGGTAGTGGAAAGCAGCAACCTTGTCCTCAGCTCTGCTGCAGACAGAAACATCACACTATAGACTGTAAAAGGTCCATATTAGTGTTGAGTACTGTTGTCAGTGGCTGAGCAGACACAGTCCTCAATTCAACCTTCCCTATTGCTGCCCCTCCTGCAATCCAGCTTAGTGGACAACAGAGAGAAATATGTTTCCTTGAACAATAGCAGAAATCTCTGGCTAAATCTCCTATAAATTTGAGGCTGGACTCCATTTTTTTCAAGTAGAGTAATTGAGGTTGGAAAAGACCTTTAAGATCATCAAGTCCAACTGTAAACCGTGTCTCTAAGTGCCTAAGTAGATGCTAGGTGTCTAATTCTGACAGATTTTGATTACTCACAGCTTTCCTTCATATCACTGGAAGTTCCAAGTCTTTGGGACCATATCCTGGTATCAAATCCCAGTAATGCAAAGACTTGGGGTGTCATTAGGATGGCTGGTAGTGTATGCTGGGGATCATGTTTCCTTATTCAACCTTACACCACAGAAAATGGTGATTTGCCATCATTCCGAAAGCAGGACCTGATAGAAAAATTACCCCTTGGTTATTCCTCTGAATAGATTAAACACGTCCACTGAGTAAAAAGAATTCCTTGTGCTTCATTTAAAATGTAAGGTTTAATCTAACCTCTAAAACAAGTTCTCAGCTGAAATTAGCCCACATACAAGAGACAGCTGTTTTAGAAAAGGCTGTATCAAATCAAACTCTGTATGAATTTTTCCTGTTATGGCAAAATGAACTGTCTCAGAAACAAATTTTGGCTTCCATTATCTGTATCAAGTGAAAGACTGCATCTGAATTGGCACTGAAGTGCAATATGAACTCTGAGAGCTCTCTTTTTGGGGGTAGTTCTCAAATTTGCACATAAAATTTTTGGCTTAATGTAGTCCAAATGAATAAGGTGTTTTCCATTACTTAAATTCCAGTGGCACAGTTGTGCATATTTATCACTGCTCCCTATGAAACTGTGGACCTCTGAATCAGATATGAATAAAACTTATTGCTTAAATATGATGAGAGTACATATGATCCCACACAGATACTTGAGGAGGGAAAATAGCACAGGACATTTTTCTCCTTTGTACATCTCTAGCTTTACTTTGCACCTCTTTAGAAACATAGAGCTGAAGACATACAGCTCAGAAATTTAGAAGCTAGAGGTGTTATGTCATTGCTTCTTGATATAAATTAAAGCCATGACGGGTCCCCATCTCTGCAGATTTCATCATATTGTTTGACTGAACCCCTGCCCCAAGGTCACAATATGCCCTGTGGAAACCTTACTTTTTCTTTCTTCTTGGGGCTTTTACACCCTCTTTCCTATACAAGCATTAGCAATTGCTTTCCAGCACACAGCTTTCAAGGAGGGCAGTAGGGGCAGGAAGGGACAAAGGCATAAACAGAAGCTGCCAGATCCCTGCAGATCTGTGTGCAGAGCCTCACACATAACTTGCCATGGCTGCACCTCTGTTTCTCTAAATTCTGATCCATGAGGGGATTTTAATTACTACAGTTAATACAACACAGAGTGCTTATACATCTATTAAGGCAGAGACATGACTATTAATTCTACTTGTTTCTTGTCTCCTTTTGTAGTTACCCACTTTTTTGGTTCACAGACCTCTCTTTTTGAGGCTCTGCTACCTGTATCTTAAGGTTATAATCAGGAAGTCTGGCTTACTATTTTCATATATAATACCAGCTTCCACATCTGTTGAGATCGAATTCTGCTACTCAGCATACGTATACATAATGCCACTGCAGCACATGGAGTTACAATGGCTTAAAACAAAGGTTAGATCAGACTCAAACCTGGTCATCTGCATATAGAGGTGTTGAATTTATAAGCGTTAAGGCCACTGGAGCTAAATCAATTTGTAGATGTAATTCTTGAGCATAATCATATGACAACATTGAACCTGTGCGCCCAGGAGTCAGCATTGAAGTATATTTACACATAAGTTGGCACATGCATAAACTGGAGGAACATGGCTAAGAAGCTACATGCCAGATGCTTATGAAATAGAGAAAATCTGCATTTAGTATTGTTTTCTTCTATTTATTGACTGAAGTTTTTACTTTTTTTTTTTTTTTTTAAATAGGTACTGACTATCTTATAGCAGGCCAGGAGGACTCTAGGACCAGCAAACTCCTTGTGAACATGAACAGCCTGGTGAAACCCTGGAAAGCATATTTGGGAAAACAAGTATCAGATATTCTTCGAGCTGGGTGCAAATAATTTCTGCTTCAGAAGTTACAGTGTTGAACTTTGCCTTTTAGTAACACTGCAGTGAAAGGTGTAGTTAGTTCACGCGTTCCCATTCAACATGCTCCTAGCTGAAGTGATGGAAGCAGACTTACCATCCTTTCTCCTTTCACGTGCTTAGACAGGAAACTTCAGACATGACTACTTTTTTCAAAAAATGCACAGCCTTATCGTACAAAATTAACTAGTGCATCATACTTAGGTTACAAGTCAGTTCTTAATTTGAGAGGCAAAATCTTACAAGGCAAAACTAAAGATATGGATTAGTGTTTCCATACTTCAGGTCAGAGCCTGATATTAATATGTATGAGCTGCTTACATAATGCATTCATTACCTGGGTGTAGTTTTCTTTATAAGTAAGTGACCACTAACAGGCAGCATTTTCTTTCAGCTTTACAAGTGGCATAATACTTAAAAAGCATGTCAAATAATACTTATTTAAAAGAGCTGAGATTGATTTAACATCAGACTGCAATTATGCCAACATAACGGGTTGCTTTCTAGAAGGCAATATTATCCCACTGCTGAACAGAAACAAACCAATGTGTGACTGAACCTGGGACAAGGTCCTTTATATATGTACATTGCGATCATCAGTGCTTGGTGCTGAGGTCTGCTGCAGAAAGCACCTTGGCTCAAACTTGATTCCAAATCCAACCCTTGCTCTCTAAAGACATTTCGCTCTTTCCTGTAGTGCTTTAGTCTGTAACACCACAAAGCGATTACCACTAAAAAGCCTTATGCTAGGAAAGAACCAAAACACCTGAGGAACTAGTAGCTGTTCTAACGTTGAGACTGTAACATTACAAAAGCTACAAGGCAGAAGCAGGAGGAGGTAAATGGGTTGGCTGGACTGTGTATTAGATGAGGTAGCTATAGTTACTGAGAGAGCAACCTGGCTATTCAAACTGTGCTTAAGACCTCGGGCATTTGATTGCACTTAGCGCTTTTATTCTGCTTTATTTCTCTTGGTCACACTTCAGGTTAAGACACTGAAGCTAGCCTTCCTTCCCACTGCGTCTGGGGATTATTTCTCCCTCCACAGAAGTATGAGAGAGATAACATCTGCACTCTTGGTAAAAATAGTTCTGTTCTGCAAAAGCATTCTTTTACCCTACCCTTAGGGTGCTTTTGCATTTTGCCCTACCCTATAGTAAATTAAGAAGTAGCTACTTAAATCATTCCCTAACACAGTATTTTGAGGAAATTGTAGTTTAATACCTGTGTCCCCTATTTAAGGACTCAAAATCAAATGAAGCTGGCTGGAGCACATTCCCTCATCAAGTAAAGCAGGAATTATAATGAGTCAGTCTGTTCTTTCAAGGGGTTACAGAGAAAAAGCATGGACACATGCTATTTTGCATATTTCTATTCCATGTCTGTAATTTTTTTAATGCACTCAGGAAAGAGGAGAGATCTTCATTTAGCACTGTCTCACTGGCACATGGAGGATCTAGAAAAGCCTAATACTAAAACAGAAGGATGGAAGTCCCAGCCTACAACTGAGGCCATCAGTTTGTTCTCTTTATCACTGGGAACCTGGAAAAGCAGCTTCTGTCATTCCATTTGTTGCTGGTTTACTTTTAACTGCATATTGGTTGAACAGCAGAAAAAGCTTCAGCTCATTTGGAAATGGATGACAGGGAAACACTTACAAAATAAAAGGCCCACTTTTCTCCCAAGAGTGCATAGTGTTTCTTCCTCCCCGCTTTTCAGAAAGTCTCCCCTCCTCCATTGCCATTGTCTTCCCTCTTTCACTTCATTATTTATTTGTTGTTACCTAAAGTGGTATCCAACAATATGGCATCTCCAACAAGCCATTTAATTAATGCAATAAAACACTTTTTAACCAGGGAATTTGGCTTAATTTGAAATGTCAGCTTACAGAAATCAAGAGCATAGCAACTGCTTTCTTTACTGTTTCCAGAAATTGTCTCACAACAAAAAGATGGACTAGTTCTCCTTGAAATATCAATAAAAATAAAGATGTGTACATTAATTTACAGTCTGTTCTCAAAGGGCCTCTCAGAATAAATGAAAATCAAGCATAGGTTTAGAACTAAGCTAAGGAACATGCTTTTCAACACAGGCCATTTTACCTGCAGGGGATCTTATTTAACGATGATCACATTCCATTTTGGTTTCTAGGTTAGTACCATATCAAAACAAACTCCTATATTCCACTTTTTGTGCCAGATTGGTGATTTTGTGGGGAGGGTAAACATCTGTGTAGTTCCTTTCTGTGGATGAAAGTTATTTTTTTAACACGGTCATTTACAAACATTTCTAGCTACTGCTAGTAGAAATACTAATTGCAACGAAAAATATTGATACCCTAATGCGTTCTCTTGGGGGCTACTGTAAAACAGTGATTACTGAGTATCGTATGCAAACAACAGTCATCAATACATCACACATTTCAGCTATTTCAAAAGTCAGTGATATAAACACACACATATTAAAGAAAACTGTGAAGCAAGTGAGGGAACCCAAAAATATTCAGCTAATTTCTTCTTTTAATTTCCCATTCTTTTTTAATCTCCAATGTACTTGCAGGTACCTGTATAGCTGAGGCTACTTCATTCCCTCCATTAGTTAGAAACATTGCACATTTTGTTCCAACTACAAGCTCTTGTTCAATGGCTTTGGTCTATAGAGCAGCAGGTATTCCATAAGCATAGAATTTAATCTGAAAGTGAAAAATGAAAGCACAGTAGGGTGAGTTAACTCTGCAACCTCACTTTTTATTGGTATCACTACTTCTGCTAATCAGGTATCTTTGAGTTCACAGAGAAGAAAAATAAAAGAATATAGTTCTAAAGCACATGGAGCTACCATGTACAATCTCTTTGTTCTGCAGTGCTACAATCCAGGTAGCCTGTCCAAAAATAAGTATCTAAATAGAAGTGAACTGCATAGATCAAGTTAGAACAGCTATTGATTAAAGAAGAGATGAGAAGTTTAAATTGATCACCATGGGACTTTGGAAAGGAAAAGAGTTATTTTCACAGAATCATAGGGGTTGGAAGGTACCTCAGGAGATCATCTAGTCCAACCCCCCTGATAAAGCAGGTTCCCTACAACAGGTTGCACAGGGAAGCATCCAGGCTATCCTCCAGTCTTCAGGCACCTCTCCCATTCTCCAAGACTTTCCAAAGATGATAGAGAGGAGTTTAGTGATCAATTCCACCAGCTCCTGCAGCACTCATGGGTGCATCCCATCAGGGCCCATGGATTTGTGTGTATTGATTTTGTTTATGCTATCTCTGATCAGTTCTTCCTCAACCAAGGGGCAGTCTTCCTCCCTCCAGACTCTCTCTTCACTCCAGCATCTGGGATTCCTGAGGGGCACTTTTTGCCATAAAGACTGAAGCAAAGAAGGTGTTCAGTATCTCTGCCTTCTCAGCGTCTCCTGTTACCAGGGCACCTGCCTCATTCAGCAGTGGGCCCACATTTTCCCTGGTCTTCCTTTTGTTATTGATTTACTTAAAAAAAAAGCCTTTTTTGTTGTCTTTAACCTCCTTTGCCAGAATTAGTTCCAAGTGGAACTAATGCAAGGCCTTGGCCTTCCTAGTTGCATCCCTGCAGGTCCTGACCGCATTCTTATATTCCTCCCAGGTGGCTAGACCATTTTTCCACATATCCTTCCTCTTCCCTTTGAGTTTTTCCATGAGCTCTTTGCTCATCCACACAGGTTTCCTGCAACTCTTGCCCAATTTCTTTCTCTTAGGGATGCACTGGTCTTGTCTTGGAGGAAGTGGTACTTGAGCATTAACCAAATTTTCTTGTGTACTGGTACCTGAAATGAAGCTAAACATGCAACAGTGCAAGATGACAACTGTCTTCCTAGTAGAAGCTGTTACATGTTCCTCAGAATGAGCAAACAAGGTCATACACAGGAAATTAAAAGAACCACCATAGAAGGTGTGATATTCCTGTACCAAAAAAGAATTGTTTTGTAGGCCTGTGTACGATATCACATACCTTGTGATCCTCTCTGTGACTGTGTGTCTTAGGTGGCACAGTAATAAAAAGAATACTAACATGGAAAAAATGATGCATTTGCCCAATACAGAAATAGCTGGACAGCTTTTTAGTATGTGTAAAATGGGACCTGACTTTAAAACGGCCACATCAACAACCCTAAAGCATGCAAATAGACAAGGTGTCTCTCAAGCAGTAGCAACCACATATGCAACAGTAGCAATGATGTATCAGTTGGAAATCCTGCATAAGGATGAAATAAAAGCCTTTAACCACAAGAAAAGTCTGGAAAGCTGTGGAAAATTTAGAATAAGGGAGGTGATAGCTTGAAGTAGAAGCACATGTATCTTTCCACAGATAGCAGTAAAATCAGGATTGCTGGAAGTCATGCAGCTCTTTAGCAGCTGTGCAGCACATGCATCCATGAATTCATGAACATGCTGGCAGTATGGACCCTTAAAGCATCAAAGTAGTTCATTAAAGGGCCATTGTGAGAGTGCTGAGCCCTAACTCCAATGTACTGACATACCGCTACTAAAGCTTCTCCAGCTCCTGCTCTTGGCAAGCAGCTAAAGAATGAAAATGTACCTATACACAACCTTTGTGCACTGCTCTTCTGAGAGTGGCTCACTGCTATAAAGAAGTTTTCTCTGTAGCATTTACCATGTCTCATAATTTTTCCATGCTGCTTGAAGTAAGCTTTCTTTGAATTGATATAATTCACATGATGTGCTCCCTCAAGTCCCCCAGACCTAGAAAAGTTGATGTGTTTTTGTTATGTGTTGTAGCATTTTTTTTTTTTTGTACTTAAAACTTCAATTAAAAATATTCAGACATTTATATTGATGTGAGGTTTGGATTTATTTTTAGCATTTTAAACCTCATACCATATGCATGTTAATTCTTTTTAAGTTAATAAACCACAAACATTCCAGCTGTAAGTCTCTTGCTTTGTTAGCACAGAGTCAGGCAAACAGAGAAAAGCATT